TTCGCACCCGCCACAGCTCGTCCCAGGCCGGTCTCCGTCACGCACGGCAGCAGCGGAGACGATGAGGCTGGCACACCGCCGCTTCCGAGCGGCCCGGGCTGCTCGCGCGTGTTCGTGGAGCACTGTTAGCCTGTTAACTCTCTTGAGAAGGATAAGCCACGCGGGTGTGGGTACCAGAGCTGCCTTCCTAAAGGACACGAGCGCGATGTTCCGTGATCATTGTCGTTGACGAATTCGCTTCGTAAGACGTGTCAAGACGAAGGATTCCGAAGGAAGTGCCTACACTCGGTGCGTCATTGTCCTTAAAAAGCCCTGGAGCGAAACAGGAAACTAAGCCTGAAGACTCTAACTCCTCCGTGCTCACCTCGGCCCGCCCGCGCGGAGAGCGTGAGCTCACGAGCCGCATTGCAGCTGGGGCGCGGTGTCGGGAGCAGACGCGTTCGAGCAGCGTGGGGATGGGGCACTCTCTCGCCCGGACCGAGCTGTCCTGCCTTGTCACCGCCCCCCCGGGCCCAGCGTCCCGGCCAGGGGGCTGCGCGGGGCTCTGCGCTCACGTCCAGCTGTCACGGGTTTTATTCACATCGCCCACTTCTTTGTGATCTCAGGGAATACCAGCTTGCTTGTATTCTCAGGTGGTGGTGAGCTCATAGTCAGGAAAACCCGCTGGCCTCCCGAAACGATCTGAATCCCAGGCAAGCCCCCCATTCAACTCATTAGAGAAGTCTGTTTAAGGAATGATGCAAAAACAAGCATTCATGTAAGACTTGTGGCTAAAACCGACTTTTACGGATAAAAAGAAACCTCTTAAACGTCAGTAGATAAACTGGAAAAAAGTAATTATCATTAAACAGACACTAAACCAACTTAGTTTGCAGGACAACTGTGACGCAGAAATGTGCATGAGGACCTGGACGGTAAGTGGGCTCCCCATCCCCCACCCGGACACGCACGTACGCACACACGCACATGCACGGAGTAGGAGGAGGCGTGTGCAAATCACGTCTCTGATAAGACCTGGGCCGAGAATATGCAAAGGCCTTTGGCCCAATAATAGGAGCAAATGACCTAACTAAGAAATCGGCAAAGGATCTGAGTAGACATTTCTCCAAAGGTAGACAAACGGCCAACAAGCGCGTGGGAGCACGCTCAGCACCCCTGGCCGTGGGGGACGTGGCTCAGGGCCACAGTGGGACACCGCCCGCACACTCCTGGGTGGCCGTGACCAAGAAGACACTGTTGGCGAGGACGCGCAGAAACCGGACTCTCGTGCTTTGCCGATGGATGTCAAAACGGCAGAGCTTCCGTGGAGACAGCCTCACCGTTCATCAAGTACTTAGAGAATGGCCACAGATCCATCAGGATCTCAGCTTACAGCCACAGACCCGAAAACACGCTCAGAGAAAATGCAGACGCAGAAGCTTCCAGAGGCGGCGTCCCTAACAGCCCAGCGGGTGGGGCTGTCCGCCCAGCGCACTGTTATCTTGAAAACATCATGCTGTGTGGAGTCATTCACGCACCCAAAAAACACATGCCGTGTGGTTCCGTTTGCACGACGTGCCCAG